GTGGATTGCTATGGTTGATACATTTTGTCAACTGGAAGTCTAGAAGCTTAACTAAGTAACTGAGCAGTTCTACATCCTAGGGTGTAAAGGACATGTTCATACCTCTAAGATGTTGTTCATTGTGTCAAACTGAGTTTAGAAGTGTAACTAAGTGATTCAGCAGGGGGCAAGGGTCCTTACTCTGTAAAAACCCTCAATTTGTGGAAGAGGAGGGCATGAAGATTGCGTGAGTGCTACACCTGCCCTGGGGGCAGTGGGCAGGGTAGGCTGCTTACAATGTAAGGGAGGAAAACAGGCTTGCTCTCCCACTTCTGCTCTTGATGATTTTGCTGTCTTCTGCTGCCTTGAACTGTAGCCCTGTGCCATGCCACCCTGCCTTGGAGTAAGCTGATTATGGACTGAAACCTCCACAAACTGTGAGCTAAATAAATCTTTCCTTCTTTGATTGTGGGTGTTGGGTATTTTGTCTCAGCAATGAGAGAAAAGTAATCAAGACACCATACCCTTTCCCCACTAAGAACCAACAGAAAGCAGCCCTGGATTTTCCCTCTAGCAGGATTCCTTGGGGAAGTGTGAGAAACGCCAGTGTAGACTGGTTCCTGCTATCTGCCCTCCAACCAGAACAAAAGTGACTTCTAATATCCACAAGCACCTGTGAAGGATGCGCAGACTTTAATGGGGACAGCAGTTGCTCCACAGCCTTCCTTAGCCCAAATCCAAGCAAGATGCCAAGGGCACAGGGTCTAAGATGAAAGCCTGGGAGGAAAGACCCCTGGTTCAAGTTCTGCCTGGCCACAGTCCTTCTTTCAGGTCAAGCACTGTTTCCTGAACACCTCATATGTGCAGATGCTATCTCAGGCAGGGGGACACAGTACATAGAGAACACTCAGCCTCTACCTGGAGCAGTGAGCTGGGAGAGCATCATTATGGAGATGTAGACACTCCCAGGAGGTTGCTGCCTCCCAGAGCTGTGCTGAGGGTCTCAGAGGATGACACATGAAGATCAGCTGCCGCTGTTTCCTGAGTGCTCAGCCCACAGACTCTGGGTGGGCAGAAGAGACCCTGGCAAAAGCCAGTGTGCAGAGTGGACAGCTCCAGCCTCGCTGGCCCCACCAGTGAAGGTGATCCACAGGCCAGGCTCCCACACACAGGACAGCTCTGCACAGCAGAGCGCATCCTCTTCACTGAGACCCTGCTCCAGACACTCGACAAGTGGTGACTGGACAAGTGGGCTATCTTGGCAACAGAGATCCCAGGTCAAGGTAGGGTCCTTCTCCGGTTGTGGCAGAACAGAGATCTCAGGTTAAGTTAGGGTCCTCAGGAGGTGGCAGAACAAAGCACATGCCCTTCAGAGGATCCCTATGTCATCCTGGGCAAGTTACTACACCACTCTGAGCCTGAGTTGCTCATCTATTAAATCATGCAGTTAATACCCACCACAGGGCTATTGAGAGGATTAAATAAAAGCATATCTAAAGTGTTTAGCACAGTGTCTGACTCATAATAACTGGTTAATAAATGGCAACCGCTATCCTCATGATTATTTTTAAATGCCAAACTCCGCTGTCCTTAAAGGAACAAAAGAGGTTTAATGATCTGTTCTTTGGTGAGATTTGCAGTTGGGGGGCAGGTACAGAGGTATAAAATCCAAAGAGAAATGGTGGAGGGTGTCGTCAGGCCCTACCCAGAGGGTGGGGAAGTTCCAAGTTCCACCAGCCACCCCTGGGTAAGTGCCGGGGGCCTGCCTGACCCCCTAAGTGCTCCTCCACTTGGGGCAGGGTCGTCCTGCCCCCTCCCGGATCTCACACTGGGCCCCAAGCAGCTAAGTGGCCTGAACAGCTGGATGCCCAGCGCAAAGCAGCATTTTCGCCCCAGGAAAACTCTGCACAACCACAAGGAACCCTATTTACAAATAAAGCCTGTTCTTGGCTCTGCCACCCACACAGCTAAGCCCTTTATTCCATTTCAATATGCCTAATTCCACTGAAAGTGCACTGCAATAAACAGAATTAATCAGTGCTGGATGCCCAGGCAAGTGTGGGCAGGTGTTGGCACAGCCGAGAGGCCTCAGAGGGGAGAGGAACAGAGCCGCAGGGACATAAAATGCTTTACTGTGGAGGATATTGGAGACAGAAAGGACTTTACTGAAGGTGGGCATTTTATGAGCAAATAAAGCCTCCGAGTGCCTGCCACTGAGAGGTGCACTCAAGTGGCCGGAAAACTTCTGTGCAGTATTTTTCCTTTGCCTCTTTTCAAAATGGAAATCGCTTCTTTTGTTGCTGTTGCCATGATTATAAAAGTCATACTTGCTCCATTCAGACACTGCATATGGATGTAAAGAATAAGTGAAAATCGCTGGTAATCTTACCCACTTGAGATAACCACTGTGGATACACTGGTGTGGGTCCCTTGGAGATATTTCTCCACGCATATTTTTGCATATGTGTTCAATACAAATGAGATCCTGCTCATAGCCAGGTTTGCAGTCCTGTTGCCTACTTAATAATATACCTTCCACATTCATAACTGCACAGCTCCATCATCATCATCATCATCATTTTTTTGGTACTAAGGACTGAACCCAGGGCCTGGCACTGAGCTACACCCTCAGCACATTTTTAATTTTTTTTATTTTGAGACAGGGTCTCAAAGTTGCCCAGGCTGGGCTTGAACTTGCGATCTTTCTGCCTCAGTCTCCTAGTGTGCTGGGATTACAGAGTGATCATCTTTTTTCACAGCTTCATAGCCTCAAGGGAATGACATACCCTGTGAGATCCTGTCCTGTTTGTCTTGCCAGCCTTGTCAACTGGCACCTTCTCTCCACCTTGCTGTTCTTTCTGCCTGGAATTCTCCTTCTGTCTTTCACATAACTAGTGTTGTTCTCTTCTTTTAACTTTCAATTACTATGCTTTTCCTCTGGGAAACCTTCCCAGAATCTGAGGCCAAGGCTGACCATCTTGTTACCTGTGCCATGGGATTTGCCATCTTGGTATTTATCACAATTGTAATGAAATAAACTTGTGTAATTAGGATACGAGCTCCAGGAGGTCAGAGACAGTGTTGCCCAGTTCAAAAGCCATGGAGCATACTGCCTGGTCCAGAGGAGCCACGGGTGTGGACGTGCTGATTCAAGGGAAGAAAGGAGGGTGAGCAGCCATGGATGGACACCTGCAGTGGGTGGCCACTCCCTTTCTTCCACCTGGAGAGACCTGCCAGCTCACTACCAGTCAGGCACCTCTCAGTGAATATGGGGACCTACAGGTAAAGGTGTGGAATGTGTTCCTGGTATCTGATCCCTCTGGCCCTCTCAGGCTGGGAAAATGTGCAAGCCCAGGACAAAACCTCCACAACCACCCAGCCCAAGCAGGAACACTGTCCAACCCAGGACAGGGAATGATACACCCATATCCATGCATGGTCAGCAGCAGGTCTCAGTGTACCTGTCTTCCATACAAAGCAACCCCTGGCTCCACCAGGCCTGGGTTGAAATCCCAGCTTCCACCTTGGGCAGGTCCATTTAGTTCTGTGAGATTCTGTTTCTCTCACTGTCCTCTTCGGACAGCAATTACCTGTGTTATCCCTGGGAGGTAGTGTACCATGATGGCTAACAACATGGACCTAAGTGTGCTGGTGTGAGTTCAAATCCTGCCCCTGGCGCTTCTTAGCTGGGTGACCTTGGGCAAGTTGCTTAATGTTGCTTCTAAATCTGTCACCTGTAATATGGAGACAGGCACATTCCTTTTTCATATATTGGTACAAAAATTAGATAAGAGATTGTGTGTGAAGCATTTAGTGAGATATCTTAGCAGCTCTAGACAGGAGGACACTATGACAATAAATATCACATCAATATCAGAGAGAGAGAGGGACAGGGAGAGAGAGAAAGGTGTGCAGTGCTCTCAGGCTGACTCCTAACATGTAACCCCTGTTGCCAACTTCTTCTCTCCCTTTCTCTTTAAAATGGATTCTGCCGGGGATATAGCTCAGTGGCATAAGCACCTGCCTGGCAAGCGCAAGGTCCTGAGTTCGATTCCCAGTACAAAAAGAAATGGATTCAATCAGTTTATTCACCACTAACAAAATCTGGAAACTGTTTGTGCATTTACTGTCACCAAGGACACTGCATATGGCATCACATAGTGTCCTCCAGAAGAAGGACCAGAAGAAATCTGCTGAGGCTACAGAATCCTGTCTCTCCAGTGCCTGTACCCATCCACCCACTCCCATACCCACCTGGGCCTGGCTCAAAAGCCACTTGGGCCCATGATCACCACTCTACATCCTGGCATCCAGATGTAGCCCAAACATATGCTGTGACTTTTTTTGGTGACCTGGGTTCCGCGTCCAGGGTCCTCAAAGGCATAGTCTTTGCCTGTCTACCAAGTTACTGGCCCTCCCCGTCAGGAGGGTAGCAGGTAGGACTTCGAGTTAAGGAATGAACTCCTCCGTGGGTTCAATTCCTGCTCTGCAAGCAGCCAGCTGTGTGACCTCAGACAAGTTGATTTAACCTCTTTGGACCTCAGTTTCCCCAGCCAGAAAATAAGGGTAACAACACCAACCCCACAGGGTAGCATACATGTGAAGTCAGTCAAACGCTGGGCACATAGTCAGCCCTCCTCAAAATAGAATAATGCCACCCCCCTCCCTGCTGGCTGCCCTAGATTGAGCACCAGCCCTGAGGCCGCTCCAGCCTTGTCCCCGCTTTCTCTCCTCTCCCTTCTCCATGCGCCCTCCTAAGCCCTGAAGTCAGGGCCACCATGAGCCATCAGCAGTGTTCGCAGGACCACAGCCACGGAGGGCCGGCTGGCCAGCATCCCACAGGAGGCCACAGTGCTGCAGCTTGCGGCTGGGAGTTAGACTTGCAGCAGCCAGCCAGGTGACCTGGCCAGGGCTGGTCCTCAGGTGGGTGCCGACTGCTCCAGGGAAGGCTGATTCAAATCAGCTGCAAACTCTCCATGTGGACCCTTCCCGCCCGCCTTGGCCCGCCTGCTGCCCCTCACCTTGAGCCCACTGCTCTCTGCTTCCGAGCCTGCATCCACGCCAGTGATGTAAATGCCGAGGCCGTACTCAGCTCCCCCGCGGATCGTGAGGCCCAGGGACCGGCCATCCCCCAGCACCAAGTTTACCTGCAGGACGTTAGAGGAGGAGGCATTAGCCTGGGGGAGCCACAGCCCTGGAGGCAGCCCTCACACCCTGGAGAAGACAGTGATTCTGGTCAGGGCTCTACGCTGCTTCCCAAGGGGTCTCCTGCCCCTTGGAGCTCCTGCCTCCTGGGGCTTCGGCCTCCTGGAGCTCCTGCCTCCTGAGGGTTCCTTCTCTGCTGTCCATCCTGATGGTCCACTCGGCCCTTCGCTCTGCAGAGGCAGGGAGCACCTGTTAAGTATATCTCTGTACTGGGGCAGGGGACTCCGAGAGGCCCCAGACACTGTCCTGTGTATGTAGAGCTCAGTCTGGTGGCGCAGAGAGACCTACAGGTGCAGTAGAATCAGCGCAGGGGGCCAGTTCGGGACCAACTGGACGCAGAGAAGGCATGACAGTCCTGCTGCAGGGCTTCCTGGATGAAGTGGCATCCCTAGTGGGCTGGAGGGAGCAAGAGTCAGGCAGGCAGGGGGAGAGAACTGGAGGAGAGGGTCCCGGGACAAAGACCGCAGGAAAGTCACACTCTCAGGACCTTGGAGGTGGGGCACAGGGCCCTTGGGATAGAAGAGAAGGGGGTGTCCAGGAGGGGGTGGATCTGGAGGCCTTCACTGCCCCTGAGGAACCTGCCTGGGGCATAGAAGAGGGATTTATGGGGAAAAGAGGAGGGGCCAGGATAGCTCAAACCTAGCCCAAAGGGAGAAACCATCCCGCAACAGATTAACACCCAGAGAGAGGGCAGCACGGCTGACTGTCCCCAGGACAGAGAGCGGCTCTCAAGCATCGGGAGGGCCAAGGTCACTGGGGAAGCCCACCCATTTTTCTATTTCTGAAAGGTTATTCAACTAAGAGTGTTCTGTGCCCACCACCAGGAGAAGCCTTTCACTTTATCATGTGCTGGGTAGAGGTGGTAAAGAGGAGAGATTGCAGCCCAAGCTGCCCCGTGGAGGGCTCGCTGTGTGACCTCAGGCAAGTTATTTAACCTCTGAACATGAGGATGAGGGTGGTATCTACCTGCTTCGTAAGGTACTGGGAAGGGAGTAAAATTAAGAGACAAACAAGCATGTGGGTTAGCGTCCAGCCCACAGGAAATGCTTAATAAACATTCGCCACGGGTGGCTCCTCGGAGGTTAAGGGACAACGGAGCGGGCCGTCCAGTGGCACGGTGCCGGGTTCTGCCTGGTACAGGCCCAGCCCTCGTCTGTCCAGGTCTGGCTCCTCAGACAGGATATACATGCTGGTGAAGAGGGACCCGCAAGGTCCAGGACAAGGAGGACAGGCAGGAGTAGTAGGGCTGTGAGTACCGCTCCAGAAGGTGCCCTGAGTCCCCTGGGACCATGGTGCTCGGCCTCCTGAGGGCTGGAGATGCTGGCTGCAGCTGCTTACAGCGAGTCCCTCCCTGGAAACCACCCTGGACCAAGGGTGCTGCCCCTCAACCCCCGTGGCACTGCCGTCTTTCTGGAGCAGCCTCACCCTGTGACAAGTGACGGACATAGACGTTCGACCCCCATCTCAGCTCAGGACACCTGTGCAGGGCTACAACAGCTCCACCCCGCTGCTGTGGCTAGGACAGCCACAAAGACTGCTCCACCCTGGGCAGGGCTGTGGCCACACTCTCTCACAGCGCTGGCCCAGGGCACTGCACTGTTATCAAACAAACTGCCACCAAGTCAGAACCTTGATGACACCGATGAATAATCCCGCAGTTCCAGAACTCAGCAGCACGGAGTAAGCCAGGGGACCCCTTCTCTCCGCAGCTTGGGGCAGAGCCCAGCTCCATGTCATGTCCATGGCTCCTCTGGAGACGCCACACACCTTGGCTGGGCCACCGCCCTCCAATGTCACCGCTGCCAGCCCAGTATCCTGCTCAGTCCCTCCGGCCAGCCTCACAGCTCCTTGCCTGTGACCCGCCTCTTCCTCTCTCTCAAGAGAACCCTGTGGTGACACCAGCCTACCTGCATAATCCCCTGTCTCACAGTCCCCATTCACTGAATCACAGCTGTAGATCCACTGCCATGTGGGGTCCCCCTCACAGCTTCTAGCAGGAGGCCGCAAGCTGGAGTGGGGGTGACTTTGAGCCTCACACCAAACCTGGCCTCAGAGTGCCCTCCTGGGAGGCCAGCTTTGGGGAGAGCTCCTGGAATCAACCTCCAGGCCTGGGAGCCTGGGGGTGCAGAGGAGGAGGCAGAAAGGGGCATACACCAGGGGCAAGGGCGGCGTAGTGCTGCAGCTGGGACGCAAGATGGAGCCTGGCCCACCGGGGCCCGGCAAAGGCTAAGGACTCTGTGATGGCTGAGTGTGCTGTGGAGGGGCGGCAGGTGAGACCCACCTGTGAGGTCAGGAAGCTTAGGTTGGGCTCCGATGGGGCTCAGGAGGCCTCCTGGGAGAGACGCAGAGGAGGGCTGGCTTTCTGCAGCCCTCCTGGGAGGGTGGGTAGTGTAGGACAGGGCAGGCAGGGAGCCGGACTTCAGATCAGGGCAGGCTGTGGCCAGGCTGGGGACAGCAAGCAGCTTATGCCTTGACCCCTCGCCCTCTGGCAGGTCAGACTCCCCTGGTGCTGCGCCTCCAGGGCACAGAATAATGACCAGGCCTGGTCCACACACAGGGCCCATCCCCACACTCACACCCCACACTGGAGCCAAACCCCAGCCTCGGCTCCCTCCAGGCCCAGCCCGCTCCAGGACACCGAGCCCAGCAGGCAGGGAGTTGAGAGGAATAGGATGTCCGGGCAGCTGAGCCCAGGCCACACCCAGGACAGCGGGAATGTGGCCCCCTCTAAGCACTCAGGACGGCCAGCACCTCTCCGCTTCCCCACAGCCCCAAGCAAATCCTTTACGTCAGAAGAAAACAGAGCTGGGGATTTAGCTCAGCAGCAAGCGTCTGCCTGCAAGCGCGAGGTTGTGAGTTTGATTCCTGGTTCAAAAAAAAAAAAACAAAACGAAGAAAACAGAGTCTTTATCCCAGAACTTTAACAGCAGTTCCGTCAGCCACAGGGTAATCTGCCTCAGTCCCTTGCCAAAATCCAGCAGCGCTTACACAGACAGAATTCATCTACAGGAAAGGATATGAAATTGAGAGGCAGCCCGGGCCGGTGAAGACAACCCCACCGCTGTGGGTAATAGTACTACAAACAGAATAACACACTAAATTGGTTACTAAACTGTCTCCTGTGTCGCAGGTGCTGTTCTCAGCACTTTACACGACCTCCCTCTCTCCTCTGTGTTTCTCTTGCTACTCCCACTTTCCAGATGAGGAAACTGAGGCACAGCCCTCACTGAGGAGTAAAGTGGTGGGCCCAAGATTTGCAAGGCAGAGCCTGACCTGCCTATGGAGCCTGTGTTTCACCAGTACCTCAAAAGCCAGTCCTGATATTCACCACTGGGTACCTGGGGTAGGCCCATTGATAAAATGAGAATTGTGCAACCTGCCTGGAGCAGGCACTGCCTCACCATGAAGTCCTCACTCTGCTTGGAAGCAACGGGAGCAGCCCCAGGAAATGATGCCAGTCTGGGCCATCCATTCCCTTCTGCCAGGGGATACAGGTATTTCTAAGCCAACCTGGGCCAAGAGACATGGGGAGGGTATCTTACGGGGGATTCTCAGAAGGATTTTTCCACTCTGAAAAGAGAAAGGTAAAGGAAGGGAGAATCTCCTCACTCGCTGTGGTTTGGACACAGCCTTGAGAGGCTGTGATGGCAGGAGCAGAGGCTGTGATCTTGCAGCCATGAAGCACAAGAGGAAGGAAAGACTCCCTGTCTGGCCAGCCCCACACCTCTTCATCTCATCCCTTCATGGACACGCTCCCGTCACTTGGCTTTTCTGTTCTGTCACCATGCAGGTCTCCCTGCCTTGTTCGGCGTAATGCACATCATTCATTTTAATGCCCTCCACCTCCCGCCACCCACTAGCATGGGCCAGGCATGGCCACGTCTGCCTGCCTGGTAGCAGTGGACAGTGAGATGTTCTGGGCCCCCTGAAGGACTCAGCAATTATTCTGAGGAAGCGGAGCTTGAGTCTGGTGCCTTAGACCACTCGTCCATCCTGACACTCAGTAATTACTCTGAGAGAGAGACATGGGAGGCAGCTAGTACCACGCCGGCATAAGAGAGCTGAGAGTTGTTGCTAGAATTCATCACTATGCCCCATGCTTGTGTTGCTGGGCTTATGTGCACTATTATTAATCTTTGAAATGGCCTCACAGGGCTGGCAGGACCATCCCGAATCACAGCCAGGGAAGCTTAAGGATTCACCCAAGGGTAAGTGACTCGCTCCTGGGCCAGAAGCTCGGAAAGAGGTTTGAAACCCCATCCTTCCAGCCCAAAGCGCTGCTCCTTCTGCACCGGGCTGATTCCATCTTTTTCTCTGCTGAAGACACACGAGCTCCGCGCAGCTTTGAGGCCACTGGAGGGTCTCGCATTCATCCGAGAATGAGGACCACAAGCTGTCAGAGGCCACTGAGAAAGCGTATGACCGGATGTGGCCGAGGAGCAGGAGTCCTGCAAAGACTGCTCCTCCCCGTCACTCTCTGAGCAGACCACATGCTGACCAGGCACAGGAAACTGAGGCTGTGGTCTGTGCCCCCGGAGGGAGCTGTGGCTGTGCAGAAACCGGCCGAGAGGACCACAGCCAGGGGTACGAGGGAGCAGGGACACGCCTGACCTGTCCTGCTTCTGGCCTGCGGCCCAGGGCACTTCACCTCCCCACAGCATTCACACTCATCTGGAAAGGGGGATGACGACACTGGAAGCACTTTACAGGTCGTACCCGCGAGTCAGGTGGCTTTATGCAGGCACCCGGACACCAGGATCGCTCTGCATGCTGTGTCCATCAGCAGAGGAAGGACCCCTCTCAATAAAACGGGTGATGGAAATACAAGGGTGATGCATGGAACAACCTATCGGGGGAAGAGGCCTTGTCCCCAAAGCACCTCTCAGGGTGGCGCCGGGCTGTGCCACGTGTGCCCAGGCTGAGCGCTGCACCCCCACCCATC